CATGCAAATACTCGTAAGTGGAAATTATCGCAAACGATTTTGTGCAGTGAGACATTTATATGTGTTTTAAAAGCATTAAGCAACATCACAGAGCGTTTATAAAAACATACATATGTAGAAAAAGTACAAAAAGATGCTTAGGAATGATACACACCAACTTCAGGATAGGTGTTAGGAGGAGGGAAAACGATGGATGGGATTAGGGGCAGAGCTTTGCCTGTATCTGTGACATATGATTTCGTTAAAAGAAGAGAGGGGAGGGGAAGAGACCAAATCTTATATTTAAATGAATCGTGATATTATTTTTGTACACAGAACTGCAATTTTATACCTATTTTAGCATAAAATTAACTTTATTAGACTAATACGAGAATTAATGACCCAGTTTTCCATAGTGCGCACTCAAAATTTAAGTACCCACAGGGAATTTAAATTTCCCTGTAATTCTTAAGAATTTTTTAGAAACTAGGAACTAATTATACCTCAATAAAGTCGTTTGGGGAAAAAAAAAAGGGGACAGTATGTAAACTCAAGATTTTTGAAAAAGCAAATAGCAACTACTGGGAATTTGCTGTAAGAGCAGTATGAAGCTTTTTGTGTGTGTGATAACACAAAGATCCAAGGACCAATGCGATGAAGTGGAAGATTTGAAAGAAGATGGCACCATGTGAACATTTTAACATTTGTTAAGCTGAAATAGTGGGAACTTCTGCATCTATTTTATTATTTTCTGTAACTCTGGAATATTTCATAATTTACATTTTTAAATTTTAAGCAAGCAAATAGGCCAGGATAGGTGAAATAAAAATAGCAAATGTTGAAAATTATTAAAGTTGGGTAATGGGTATATTGGGGCTCATTATACTGCTTTTTTTTTTTTTAAGATTTTATTTATTTATTTGACAGAGAGAGACACAGCGAGAGAGGGAACACAAGCAGGGGGAATGGGAGACAGAGAAGCAGGCTTTCTGCTGAGCAGGGAGCCCGATGCAGGGCTCGATCCCAGGACCCTGGGATCATGACCTGAGCCGAAGGCAGACGCTTAACGACTGAGCCACCCAGGCGCCCCTCATTATACTGCTCTTTTCTATTTTTTGTAAGTTTGACATTTCTGTTTAAGTGTGGAATTTCCCATAATAAAAAATTTTATTAAAAACTAAAAATTAGGGGCGCCTGGGTGGCTCGATTAAGCGTCTGTTTCTGGCTCAGGTCATGATCCCGGTGTCTTGGCATAGAGCCTCACACTGGGCTCCCTGCTCAGCGGGGAGTCTGCTTCCCCCTCTCCCTCTGTCTCTCCCCCTGCTTGTGCACACATGCACGCACGCACGCACACACACACACTCCCTCTCTCAAATAAAATCTTTAAAAAAACTAAAAATTATGGGGCACCCAGCTGGCTCAGTTGGAAGAGCATGTGACTCAAACTCACGATCTCAGGGTCATGGGTTTGAACCCCACAATGGGTGTAGAGATTTCTAAAAAACATGAACTTTTTGGGGTGCCTGGGTGGCTCAGTCGTTAAGCGTCTGCCTTCGGCTCAGGTCACGATCCCAGGGTCCTGGGATCGAGTCCCACATCGGGCTCCCTGCTTGACGGGAAGCCTGCTTCTCCCTCTCCCACTCTCCCTGCTTGTGTTCCCTCTCTCGCTGTTTCTCTCTCTGTTAAAAAATAAAATCTTAAAAAAAAAAAATGAACTTTAAAAAAAAAACCTAAAAATTAAGACTTTATACATTTTTGTGTGTAATTTGCACATGCACAGAAAGCTTCTGGAAGATCAAAACAAACTGGCAATAGAGCTAACTCTTCCTTGCTGCCTCAAACAGATACCGTTTTTTCAGTTTTCATTTAGAGTTCTCAGGTTCTCAGAGTCCTGGACCCCAAGCATATTATTTAAGGTTTGTGGATGGGGAGGAAGGTGGCTGGGAGAACAACAGTGAGACAGCTGCTGCCCTGGTCCAGTAGGAACAGAACAGGGCTGGGTTCAGACAGTAGCAGTGGAGGTGGAGTGGAGGGACTGATTGGAGAACTATTTCAGAGGTAGAATTGATAGGACCTAACAAGCTCCCTTGAGAGGAAGAATCATCTTTCTTTGCTTAACTGGGGTTCCCTCACAATTGAGGGGTATATGATTCCAAAGAGATTTCCTGTGATATTCCTTACTCAAGGTTAGAGGGTAAAAATTCACATATTTGAACTCTAGCAGAGTCCATTTAATGAATCCCCTTTCTCTTCATTCACAGAAACTATGAACTTGACTATCTCTTTATACTTCGCTCATCAGTTAAACCATCAGTACATTTCTTTTTTGTTGTTGTTGACTAGGAAGATTTTTGTCACTGCAGCCAAGAGTCCTGACTAAAGATCACATATACACAAACTTTTGCATACGATTTCAGGGATTCATGTATTTCCTCTCTCCCCACAAGCTCTTGTACTCTTAGGCCTTCAGCTTTAGAGTGAGGTCTAGCAAAGTGAATACCCACTCACAATATTCCCTGCTTAACAAGCCTTTGTGGACTCCCACAGTTTGCTAGATGACAGTCCTGGCCTCCCCAGCCTCGGTGATGGTCCCTCCAGGACCTGGTGCTCCCAGGGGCACTGCACTGACCATACCACATGGTACTTGTCTGTGTGGTACACTGGATGCACATCCTGGCAAACAGGTTCTTGCCTGTGGTTGTTGCTGAAGCCTTCAACAGTCAGGAGGTTAACATTGCAGAGGGGAACCTCCTCTGCCTCTCCACCTCCCTGGGGATACCCCATGACTTCATGAAGAAGGAAGACAGACGACACAAAGGGACGGCTACTCGCTCCCTGAATCTAAACCACTATGGTCAGATCTCCAAGGAGCCTCACACATTGCCTCATCGAATTGCCTGAACAGGCCTTCCGGACCACTTGAGGGCACAGTAATGCCTTTTGGACTGTGCAATATTCCTGCTATGGTAAGGTCACTGAGCAAAGGTTTTTAGAGAACATGCAGTTTTTTGCTATTCCCTAACAAATCCTGGGGGCTAAAAAAAAATTTGAGATTATCAGGGGACAAGAACATTAAGCAAAATAGCTCATCCAGACAGACTTCTGACTTCTGATGTTCCTCTGTCAGGAGTTTCCTCACCAGGAGAGAGGGGCCCTGAATCTGCCCTTGCTTTTAATCTGTGCTTGCTGAGTCCCTGGAGGAAGGAGACAGGTGACTTGTTCAACAGGGGTGTCAGCAGTGGGTCAAGGCCTTTGGCACAGGTGGGTCTGTTGGGGCACTTTCTACCCTTTGCTGTCAGGGCCGGGGCGGGCGGCGGGGGGGGACTTTCCTCTGCCCTATGGTCCTCGCTGGCCTTATAATCAGACTGACATGAGACAGATTATGAGGAGAAAATAAAATTTGATAGGTGTGTGTAAAGGGAATCCACATAGATGAGATTCTAAAGACAATGAGACAACAGGATGCTTCTATGAACTAAGAAGAGGTAGGGGCCTGAGGATACTAAGGGAAAAAAACTCATTAGCAAGGTGAAAAGGGATGTTTGGGAAAAACAAGGTTGCTCTATTACGCAAATATAAGTTCCTCAGGGGGGAGGGTGTGTGGTCTCTGTTAATACTTTTCTTCCTGTTGCAGACTCTCCTTTCCAATGTAAATTGTGGGAGTTATGGGGGAGGCAGAGAGCCTTTACTGCATCTGCTGTGTTTTTATTACTTTTAACTCAATCTTTATGTCAAAGTGGCACATATTGGGGCAAAGATCTGGCTGAGGCAGTGGGCATGGAGAAGGCATGATAGATGTGAGAGGCTGTAGGGATGAGGGAATGAAGGAGTTGAAATACTGAGGTCCCAAGCTTGGGAGATGAGTGAAAAGACAGGGCTTGCTTTAGGCTATGCCAAATTTAAATTCAAAGGCAAGTAGTCGGATCTAAAAAAAAAACAAAAACAAAATAAGCTCATAGATAACAGAGGGCAGATTGGTGGTAGGGTTACTGGAGAATGGGTGAAGGGGGTTGAAAGGTATATACTTCCGGTTATAATCCTGGAGATGTACAGCATGGTAGCATGTTGACTACAGTTAACAGTACTGTACTGCATATTTGAAAGTTTGCTAAGAGAGTAAATCTAAAGGTTCTCATCACAAGAAAAAAATGTGTAACTGTAAGGTGATCCATGTTAACCAGACTTGCTGAGGTGAATGCTTCTAAATGTATACAAATATCAAATCATTAGTTGTACACCTGAAACTAATGTTATATGTTAATTATACCTTAATTTAAAACAAGTTCTTTTTTTAATCCACAGTCAAAGTGATCAAAGCTGGCGGGCAAGGAAAGAAGGGAGTAGGGCTGGAGGTGAGGTCAGGTTTGCAGCCCTTGTCCAAAAGAAAACAGTTCTCAGGGGCAGATTTGTAGGTGCCCGCGGAGAAGGCGAACCGTCCAGGGCACAAGACTGCAAGCTCATTACGGTGCGGGTTCTTTGCCTCCCTCGGTGCCCCCTTCCCAGAGAGGGGAGAAAGCAGGGGTGGGGCCGGTGGCTGCAACGGTCTCTTCTCTTCGAAGACAGCGCCCCTTGCGGGGAGGGCCTGGTTTCAACACACTCGACCGCCAGTCCCGGGAAGACCCCGCAATTCCGGCGCTGACCGGCCGCGCCATTTCCCTCCCTTTTAGCGCCCGTCGCCCCAGGCTGCTCATCCGGAAAAGGGGCGCTCTGTTCCCCAAGGTCTGAGCAAGGAAGCTGGGCGTCCAGGACGGCCTTCTCGCCCGAAGGCAGCTAGGCTGCAGCTGACACGCTACGCGCTCGGTGGGAGCCCGAGGATCCCCGGTCCAGGAGCCTAGGCCGGAAGCTGCGCCGCCCGCTTCCGCGTCAGCCGGAAGTGCCTGCCACTTGAGGCAGAGGACTTCCGGTGGGTCTGCAGGGCAGTCGGGAGTCAGCATGGCGGCCCCCTTGGCCGGGAAAAAGATCGTGTTTGTCACGGGGAACGCCAAGAAGCTGGAGGAGGTGCCGGGAGGGCGCGGGGGGCCGACCAGTAGGCGGCTGAGGGGGTAGCGGGTGGTAGGGCCCGCTGGGGATCGGGCGGAGAGGCGGCCTCCAGGCGGAGGGGGCACGGAGAGGCCGACCCGGGCGTGTGGAACGCGTTGGGCCGCGCTGAGCGAAGTGGCCGTGTGTGCGGAGTGGAGCGGGCCGGTGGTTGGCTTTAATAGAATTAAGGCGTTGACAGATCCAGGCTTGCGAGCTCGGGAGCTGCGGGAGCCAAAGGAGTGCCGGGTCCTTAGTACCTGTCCCAAAGGTCATCTATTAGGCTAGACCCCAAACGGAGACTCTTGACACCCCTCTGGAGCTGATCCAGACCCCGCTGCCGACCTGGGGGTGGCAGGGGCGAGACAGAGCATGGGACAGGCAACCAAACTGAGCCGTCCACGCCCCACCACGGTCCAGAAATGTGGTCCTCAGCCTCTTTTCCTCTTCTGTGAGATGGGGATGATTTGGAAGGTCGGTTTCACAATGCAGTAGGGAGGAGGAGTGAAGAAAGCATTAGATCCCCAAAGTTCCTGACTCTGGGAATCTTGTGGCTAGCTGTGAGGATTCTGCGGGTGGATGGATAGCCTTTGGCTGCAAATAATAGACACACACAGGGAACTCATGTCAACTACTAGGTGACTCTTCTGGGAATACAATGTTAAGATGTCCCACAAGATTTGAGGAGTCTCCCGAGGGCCTATCTTGTCCTCGTAGTTCTCTCTGGATGCTCATTCCTTTCCTAGTAAGCGTTTTTCTGCTTACTTCGCTCCTGGTGGAGGGGGCAGTGAGGCTTCTGCCATACATCAGCTCTCATTAGCCTTGCTTGGGTCAAGGGTTTGCCCCTGCTCCGTCAGCCATGGCCAAGGAGGTGAGTCATGGTGCAGAATCAGGGTGACATCCACTAGATATGTTGAGGCAGACGAGTGGGACCCAGTCGTTAGGGGACCGACCTTTCATTTGTCCACAGCATAGGGAATGATGGCACTTCTGTGGCAGTACAGGGTGTCCTACTCAAGAGCCAGAGCCCCGTGCTGATGAAAAGTTCGGGATCCTGAGGCCAGGCTGGTCAAACAGACAAGTAGCGCCACCGTGAAAAAGAGCCCATGCAGGATAGTGGGTGCCAGCTCCCAAGCCCACCTCTGTGTCTGGTTGAGAATGTGGCCTCCTATGTTTTAAAAAGTGGCTAGAGTGGCCAGAGGAGGCTCACCGAAGAAGACGGGTTAGATGAAGTTGGCTTAGAACAGGGTGTCTTGACTCTTCATCCCATAGCACTCCATTGACAGGCTGATGAAGTCTGTGGACCGTTTTTCAGGAAAGTATTTTTAAATGTACAAAGTAAAATACATAGGGTTACAAAAGAAAGTAATTCTATTAAAGTACAATTCTCAATATAAAATGTTTGTGATCTAGTTAACATACACTTTTTTAATGCATTAAAGGATTCAACGTAGCCGTGTGTAGTTACCATAATTTTCAAATAGGGTTGTAAATATTTTGAGATATTTGCTACAGCTGTAATGGGATATGACAACATCTGTGATTTTAATAGGTTTAAAGGTCACAGGAACTGCTGATGCTATTTTGGTTTTCTATATTTACTCACAATTGAAAGAGATGCTAAATTTCAGCTAAAGGTTAGTGAAAATAAAGGCATTTTTTTCCCCATCCGGGTTCGCAGGCCTCTTGAATTCTGGGTAACCCCTGATGGAGAATTGCCAGAATAGGAGGTTACATAGAGCTTTAGGGAGCAGGAGAAGGGAAGAGGGTGTCCTGGGTGGGGGGTTAACGTCAACAGAGAGACCTGAAGTAGGAGGGTAGGAGACTGAGGAGATGGGGGAGCTGATCTGCTGGAGTGGGACCCTGAAGTCTGGAGTGAGGCTCATGGGCCTGACTTACTCAGCTTTAGGGGGGCTGTCAGGAGAGTTACCTGAAGAGAAAGGTGGGTGACAGCTTCTGTAGTAACAGGGAATTGTTAACAAATGGTAATAAATATTCTTTCATTTTGGAACAGGTCATTCAGATTCTGGGAGATAAGTTTCCATGCACTTTGGTGGCACAGAAAATTGACCGTATGTCTCTCTTTTGTTTTATTTCTGAAAGATGGTTTGATTTCTCTGTCTCCCTGTGACCTGACTCTCTTTGTATATCTGTTTCTCTAACAAGTGCCGGAGTACCAGGGAGAGCCTGATGAGATTTCCATACAGAAGTGTCGGGAGGCAGCTCGCCAGGTGCTTGCTCCTCGCGCGTCCCAAACTTGCTCCTCTTGTCCTGGGGCTCCTGGGGGCTGTACCTGCTGGGCTCAGGCAGAGAATAATAGGGTGGGCACAATTGGTCATAACTTCAAGGACCTGCCCAGGCCTAGCTAGATTGGGGTCAGTTAATGTTGGCAGAGGAATACTACCTTTCTTTCTCAGCCTTTACTGCATAGTATCCCCAGACCAACACACAGACGCGCGCGTAAGCGCACACACGTACACATATGCACACACTTGTCTCCGATTATCAGATACATACATTCCAGTGCCTGCATTCTCCCCACACACATCTGCCCCCGCACTCACACATCTCTGTGGAATTGGGAAAGAACACTTCCCGAAGTGTCAGGCTGTCCGAGTGTGAATCCCACCTCTCTGGTTGCTGTGCCTGGAGTAAGCTTTACAACCTTCCAAGTTTTTGGTGTTCCTGTCTCTCGAAGGAAGAAAAGAGATTAGCCAGGGGCGGTTTCCTATAGCTGTTAACTGCAGCTGCTGTAGATCCCAACTAGCTTGGGCCTGGCCCCAGCCTGGCTGGCCTGGGAATTCAGGTTAGGGACAGGGCCTACTCCAGTCACAGGTCTCGGGGCTTTGCCTCCTTGTGTTGCAGGTACGGGGGCCTGTACTGGTGGAGGACACCTGTCTGTGCTTCAACGCCCTCGGGGGCCTCCCTGGCCCCTACATGTGAGTCCCCCCCCACCCCCCGCAGGGCCCTGGCCCCCAAATCACCTGAACTTCGAAATGATTGGTTACCTGATATTGTGGGTCGTTCACTGTCTTGGTGTCAATACCAATATTTCACATTGTCCTGAGGAAGGATTAGGGGTCGGGGAGAGGCATACCTTTCTTTTGTAAAGTGTGAGACTGTGATTGTGTAAGTGGAGATAGGCCGGTGGAACCCACCTGCTGGAGAGGTACATTTGTGGCAGATCAGTTTCAGGAAAAAGGAAATAAGGAAGTTGAGATCTGAAAATGGATTTCCTTGAAACTATCCAGTGCCCTGGATACCCTCAGATGGCCTTTGTGTATCTCTTGGGTACACATATCTCACTTTAAATGCCCCTGGCTGGGGTGGGAGGGCATAGGCACGAGGTGCTTTTGCTGGGTTTTGGACACGTTTATCTTGAACTTTTGGATTGCCTGTATGTTCGCCAAGGCAGTAGCACCCATATGTGTTGCTCCGTATCCTCACCAGCACTGAGTACTAGGACTTTAATGTTTTGCCATGTGGGGAATGTGGAATGTTACCACATTTGGATTGAATTTGCATTTTCCTTTTTTTTTTTAAAGATTTTATTTATTTGAGAGAGAGGGAACACAAGCGGTAGGATGGGGATTGGGCAGAGGGAGAGGGAGAAGCAGACTTTCTGCTGAGCAGGGAGCCTGATGTGGGGCTTGATCCCAGAACCCTGAGATCATGACCTGAGCTGAAGGCAGCCCCTAAACCGACTGAGCCACCCAGGCACCCCTGAATTTACATTTTTCTAATTACCAATGAGGTTGAGGCCTTCATAGGTTTTATTAATTCTTCTGTGCATTGCCTGTTTACTTCCGTCCGTTTTCCTATTGGATTATTCCTCTTCATTTTGAGCTGTTATCATGCCCCCTGGCTGTCCTGGGGCTCTAATCCTGGGGGTGGGGTGAGGGGGTGCAGCCCAGAGAAGATGGTAGGAAGCTCCATCTGTACCTGGTGTCCGACTCATCTTTATTTCTCTTGCAGAAAGTGGTTTCTGGACAAGTTAAAGCCTGAAGGTATTAATCTCTTTTCCCTAGCTGTTGGGAATTGAGAATCCGGAGGTGGTCTGGGGGAGGGGTCCCAACTAGTACAGTAGTAGAATAGAATAACGAGCTCCATGTCCCCATCACCCAATTTCCAGGGTATTAAGCACAAAACCTATCCGATGACATGTATAAGCTCCCCAAATTGGGTGGCTTCCCAGGGCCTCAGGGGTGGGGAGTAAGGCTGGGAGCTGAGCTGCACAGACATCACTACGCTCCCCCTTCCCCCCCCCACCGCCCCCCGCAGGTCTCTACCAGCTCCTGGCTGGGTTCGAGGACAAGTCTGCCTACGCGCTCTGCACGTTCGCACTCAGCACCGGGGACCCCAGCGAGCCAGTGCGCCTGTTCAGGGGCCGGACCTTGGTGCGTACCCGCGCTGCCTCCCCCGCGGGCCGCCAGAGGGCGCTGCGGCTCCAGCCAGTGGCCCAGGGTCTAAGGCAGGCGGGTGGTGGGAAGGGCTCGTGGTCAGTTAGTTCCCAGAGCTTTGCCCAGACATGCCCCTGAGCATCACAACTAGGAGTGCTGTCAATCCTGAAATCTATCTGACCTCTGAGGCTGGTGTTCCAGAGATACACGGTGACTCATGGCTGTTGAGGCCTGGTCCACCCAGAGCTCTGCACTGTGTCCCCTCCTAAGAAGCAGATGTGGAAGCTGAAGGTGACCGCTCCCGGAGCTGCACGGACAGCCCAAATTTCTTCCAGCTCCCATCCCTGTCCAAGTGTTGAGGTGACGACTTCCCTAGAGCATCTCACATCCTTTCCAACTTCTCATGTTCCTGTAGAATCGAGCTTTCCCCAGCTCATTCCTTCCCCAGCTAGCCTTCAGCACAGCCCCGCCTGCCTATCAGACGCTTGGGTTCAGCTGCTTCTTGCGGGGTCCACACCACCCTCGGGGCTGGCCTGCTCCCCCGCAGGGCAGCCGTTTCCTCCTCATGTCCGGGTCGATGCCTTCTGGCCCATCACTCCTTCTGCTCGTAATAAAATCCAGAGTCCTGAGTAGCCCACAGAGCCCCGCCCCAGAGTCTCCACTGGGGGCTGTCCATAGACATTTCATGATGCCCTGCCTGGTTACATTTTTTTTTTTTTAATAGTGGTAAAAGACATAAAACTACCATCTTCACCACTGTTACGAGTTCGGTACAATGGTATTGACTATATGTGCACTGCTGAGCCACAGACCTCGAACTTTCTCGTCCGGCAAAATTGAAACTATACCTATTGAATAAAAGCTCCCCCTTGCCCCTCCCCACCCACCCCTGGCAACTGCTATTCCGCTTTTGTTTCTAAGAGTTTGGCAACTTCAGACCCCTCGTCTAGGTGGAATCCTGCACACGGTGTTTGTCTTTTGGTGGCCGGCTTATTTCTTGGCATAATGTCCTCCCAGGATCATTTGTGTGATAGCGTACACAGAATTGTGTGGTAGGTGACAGAATCCCTCCTTTTTACTGCGGCTGAATAATATCCATTGTATGTATCTGTGCATTTGTTTTGTCCGTTTATCTGTCCATGGGCACCTAGATTGCGTCCCCGTCGGGCTAGGCTGAGTAACGCTGCTGCTGTAAACACAGGTGTACCAGTGAGATCCGAGCTTGAGATCCCGTGCTCGGTGCCTTTGGATGTTTACGCAGAACCAGGATGGCCGCATCCTAATTGCTGGGTTACATTTTTTTTTTTTT